TTGGAGGAGGATTAACCTGAAATCCTAAAATATTTGTTACTTGGGTTCCTACAGCATAAGGCAAGTTAAATTCAAGACTTTTTAAGACTTTTTAAGGACCCGCGGGAACCCTGGGATTCAACAGTCAACAGTTCAAAACAAATCAATCAGGTAGATGAAGTGCTCCTCATTACTCTTAGTACTCTGGTACGTCCCTCCTATGGGTTATTTCTTCATGTTAAGAATAGATTTATTTATTTTTTTTTATAACTTTCAATTGAAGTGTTCATCTTCCAAATGCAAATATTTTGTTAAACAAAATTCACCCCCAAAAAGATAAAAATCTTTTTTAAAAGGATCTCATAATCTCATAATCTACAGATTTGTAGATTATGAGATTAATTTCTGAAATGAAGATAGTTTAATCTGTATTATTATTGATAAAACTTGGATTTGCAGGTTAATGGCTACAGTTCCAGTGTGGAGTAATTGGATAGAGCTGCAGTTTGGGTCGAGCAGGAAAGGTGAACAGATTAAAGTGACGTCAGTGCTGAGTTTGAAGCCACGGCCCGATCAGCTGGCTAATTAGACGGGTAATCCTTGAACACATTCACCACCAATAACCAGGAAAAGAGCACGTTACTCCGCCCACACAGCCCAGACAGACGAGACAACATGGTCCAGTCACCGCAGGCAAAGGTCACTTTTACGCTGGATTGGAAACTATGAGGCCCGGTTATTTAATACGCTATGAAGCGTTATTTAGTGAGTTTGTCCAGTGTGATTTCTTTCCAGGAAAAAGAAATGGGGACAGAAAGCTTCAAGGTGTAAACACACAGCTTTTCCTTTAATACTCTAAAGGAGCAGGGAAAGAGGGACGCTCTTTCCTAAACTACTTAGAGAGGAACTATTATTCTTCCTTTATGATTCTGAGCTGCGGCGGGTTAACATCTAGTCAGGGATCCTACTAAAATCTACAATAATCTCTGATGTTTTACAAGTGGTACCAAATGATTGTTTCCATATCATGTCACAAAGCAGTTCACCAGCTCTCTGAACTCAGCCTTTTGTCCAGCTCTGACCCACCCAATGACCGCAGAAGCATGTTGGTGTGTACTTTAGTAGCCATTCATAATTTCCTTGGCCGGTCCCCTGCAGTCCCTTCTTTAAAGATCAATCTTTGTACTAAAATATTCTTCCTGTCATGATTTGTGGACATTAAGATCTAAAAGAGGAGCGCCATCTCCTGGTCGGACCCTTATTTCAGTGAAAGGGTGGAGTATAAAATAATAAAAAAATAAGTAGAGTAGAAAAATATGCCTTCCGAGCAGAAGGAGGGGGTCACTCCAGTGGAGGATGGCGCTAGGCTAACCGCACCGGCCGGAAGATGTCAGGAATGAGGTGTTACGCTGGCCGTTTCTCAATTCACAAGACTGTGAGTACGGACTCGTGTCGTCGCCAAGTACGTTCTTGAGAAGAACACAGTTAAGTCTGGACTCTGGGAGAACGGGAGCACGTAGCATAAATATGGGTCAGTTGGAACAGAAGCGTACTGATGACATCACCACACGCTCAGCTCGTCTGGAGCTGCATTTCACCTCCTGTTATTAATAGTCCCTAGATAATAATAAATTATTACTTTTTCGATTTAGCGGGTGAATAATAATGAACACAGTCGGATAAACACAAATTAAATGAACATTTTGCCAAATAAAACAGAAATATGGCCATTGAAGCCAGCGGTCCTTCGCACACTGCTATGCAGAGAGAGGGCTGCTGCAGACAGGCTAATATTAGCCCAGGCTGCCGTTAGCCTCGGAGGCTATCTGGTTGCCACGGTCCACTCAACTTCGGAAATTTTATTTAAATTGCGCACTAAATCAGTAAATGGGCCATATAATGATGCAAATGATCTCAAAACATACTTTTATAGAACAACCGCAAAAGAAAAGAGAACTTTTAACTTAANATTTAGCGGGTGAATAATAATGAACACAGTCGGATAAACACAAATTAAATGAACATTTTGCCAAATAAAACAGAAATATGGCCATTGAAGCCAGCGGTCCTTCGCACACTGCTATGCAGAGAGAGGGCTGCTGCAGACAGGCTAATATTAGCCCAGGCTGCCGTTAGCCTCGGAGGCTATCTGGTTGCCACGGTCCACTCAACTTCGGAAATTTTATTTAAATTGCGCACTAAATCAGTAAATGGGCCATATAATGATGCAAATGATCTCAAAACATACTTTTATAGAACAACCGCAAAAGAAAAGAGAACTTTTAACTTAACACTCTGAGCTCTGTAAACGCTAACCTGGAAGCTGCTGCTGCCGCAGTGCATGCTGGGACAGCTGTCAATCGGGGGAGGGACAGGTCTGCTCTGATGCATGCTGGGTAAAGAGGGAGGGGCGAGAACAACATCTAGGGACTTTGTCCGTTCTCGGTCTGCTGTTCATGTGAATTGGAATAGTACTAGGGCTGAAGATGATGATGTTTCACGAACGCACGAGAACGCACAAGTACACATATTAAGTTATTGATTAACACTAAAATCATTAAATCAACGTAAACATATTAATTTTAAGTATAAATAAAGATCCATTAATTATTCCTTCCTTTAACGCCTGACCATCGCTGGTTGTGACTTGAAACATAAACCCTGCTGTTGGATTAGCCGTTTCTAAGGCGGTGCAGAGTATAACTGTAACCAACCAACGCTAACCAGACGAACACCACGTCCTCTTCATTCTAATTCCTTTTGGCAACTCATGCCCATAATCTCCCTGTTTCCATTCACTGCAGCTCAACATGTTTTCATCACTTATCAAACCAGAGCACCGAATGACTCAGAACTTCCTGTGATGAACAGAAACAGAAATCGCCGCCATATGTGACATTTTCTAAATGCTTCTAAGCTCAAACTTGTTAGCATCATGACTTTAGCATGAATAACTTTTGGGAAAGGCAGTTAGTGTCCATTCCAGAGCAATAGAAATAATAACTTAGTTACTGCTTACAAAAAAGGATTTATATTTCAGTGATACTGTTATTTAGTTGGGATCAAATTGACTTAATTCCTGATATTTTTAAAGTTTTGTTTACTGTAGTTTGAAGTAGAGAAAAACAAGGAATCCCAGGAAATGTTACGAGTTTAATACCTTCAAATTTAAAAGGATCTAATGCTACTGCTGCAGGGATGAGGGAATCCTTTCATCTATTTCAGGTTCTATATCTTGGAAAATCTAACTTTCCTGAATGGCGATAAGCTGCAGATCCGTCCTGCAACAGATTTACTCTCATGTGTTGCTGTTTGGGTCATTTTTCCACAAGCTGAGGGCTCCATGACTTACTGCTTACGGTATAATCCACCTAAAGCACCTCTTTAAGTGGATTGAGCGGCATGTGTCGTGTGCTTCCTCTGGTTATTCCTGGTATTTAAAGACCCGTGGGATGATCAGAGATGGGTGGAGGCTGGAGGCCGATGTTTCTGGCCCCTTATGTCACGGTACGTCCCACGCCAGCACGCCCCTCCATGTTACAGAGGTCACTATGATATAAAACAACAACTTTCCTTCTAATTTGAGATCATGACTAGAAACGGCCTGAGAAATTATATTTTTCAGGCAAGTCTTGGGGTTAATTTGTTGGAGCATAGGGGAGCACCAGACAAGTCTGAGCTGTGCTACGATTGTGTTTATTTAAACGGAGTATAAGTAATCCCATTCATCAAGTACTGTGGCCTCTGTTAACCCACAAAAAGGCATTAGGCTAATCTCCTAATAAGGAAAGTGGTCTTTCCAAACTCACATGTGTATAAACCTGGTAATTAAGACTTGATTTACCCGTGCAGAGAAGTCAGCCACTGGTGAACATGGTGAACATGGCTACAGCTGATCACTTTCTCTCACACTTTAATCTCGTGTGCTAAGAGGAAGGCTTCCCCTTTCTATCAGCTCACCTGACGGGACGATTTGGAGGAGGATTAACCTGAAATCCTAAAATATTTGTTACTTGGGTTCCTACAGCATAAGGCAAGTTAAATTCAAGACTTTTTAAGACTTTTTAAGGACCCGCGGGAACCCTGGGATTCAACAGTCAACAGTTCAAAACAAATCAATCAGGTAGATGAAGTGCTCCTCATTACTCTTAGTACTCTGGTACGTCCCTCCTATGGGTTATTTCTTCATGTTAAGAATAGATTTATTTATTTTTTTTTATAACTTTCAATTGAAGTGTTCATCTTCCAAATGCAAATATTTTGTTAAACAAAATTCACCCCCAAAAAGATAAAAATCTTTTTTAAAAGGATCTCATAATCTCATAATCTACAGATTTGTAGATTATGAGATTAATTTCTGAAATGAAGATAGTTTAATCTGTATTATTATTGATAAAACTTGGATTTGCAGGTTAATGGCTACAGTTCCAGTGTGGAGTAATTGGATAGAGCTGCAGTTTGGGTCGAGCAGGAAAGGTGAACAGATTAAAGTGACGTCAGTGCTGAGTTTGAAGCCACGGCCCGATCAGCTGGCTAATTAGACGGGTAATCCTTGAACACATTCACCACCAATAACCAGGAAAAGAGCACGTTACTCCGCCCACACAGCCCAGACAGACGAGACAACATGGTCCAGTCACCGCAGGCAAAGGTCACTTTTACGCTGGATTGGAAACTATGAGGCCCGGTTATTTAATACGNGGGGGGGGGGGGGGGGGGGGGGGGGGGGGGGTTATCTTCTCTGATTTGCAATGATCAATATCCACCATTAAAATTACCATTATGGATTATAATTACCATCAAACTTGGGGAAAAAAAGCCACAGTGGTGACGCTGCTTCTTTGCTTCAGTTAAACACCTACAATCCGGAGCTGCATCGCAATCAGTGCCGCATGACCAAACTAATACAACATGACATTGTAATGTTCAATTATGTTGTTTTTGTTTGTAGCTACAATTATTGTGGCAATGAGCATTTTTTGAATTTAATCAGGTGCGATGATAATAATATGCATGATGAGTTGCGTTTCTCTTCCCATCCAGGAACTTTTTTAACTCAAATGTCAGAAATAGTGTTGAGCTTGAGGTTTTCTACGGTAGCCCAACAAAGTCTTGTTTAGGCTTAGAAACGTGCAGACTGTAACAGATGAACTGGTCCACCCCTTTGGAATGTGAGTGGTTTGGTTTCTTTTGTTAGCCTGCCCCTTACCTGTCTATGGCCGTTTCTCAATATGTGTACTTGTGTGTTCTCGTGTGCTAGTGAAACCTCATCAGCCTCAGCACTAGTACTGTTCCAATTCACAAGAACAGAAGACAGAGAACGGACAAAGTCCCCGGATGTTGTTCTCGCCCCTCCATCATGCATCAGAGCAGACCTGTCCATTGTCGAGACTGACAGCTTTCCCAGCATGCACTGCGGCAGCAGCAGCTTCCAGGTTAGCGCTCACAGAGCTCAGAGTATTAAGTTAAAAGTTCTCTTTTCTGTTGCTGTTGTTATGTTACATTATACTTTTAAGTGTCATTATATGGTCCATTTACCGATTTAATGTGTAAGTTTAAAAACAAATTTCCGAAGTTGTCAGGACCGTGGCAACCAGCGGACTTCTGAGGCTAACGTTAGCCCGTCTGCAGCAGCCCTCTCTATACATAGCCGTATGTGAAGGACCTCTGGCTCTGATGGAGACTTCTTTGTTTTATTTGGCAAAATGTTCTTTTGATTTGTGTTTATCTGACTGTGTTCATTATTATTCCCCCACTAAATGAAGGGGGGGGGACGTTAAAGGGAATTGTTGGCCTGGCTCAATAGGCGAGGTCTTCTGATCTATCCTTGTGCAAAGGTTCATTGTTAGAATCAGATTCAAGTTTTTTGCCAAGTTTGCACTTACAACGAATTTTACTTGGTGTTGGTGGCACAGACACATTTTATATATAAAAAGCATACAGGATCTATAGTTATGAACAATAACGAAACATGCAATACACTATATACAGTATAAAGTACGGAGGTCTTCAACAGGGGATCCGGAACCCCTAGGGGGTCCACAGAGGTACTGCATGGGGGTCATGAAAGTTTTGGTTGATTAGACTTTCTTTTTATATTCCCTCCTGCAATTTTTTCCACCAATTGAAATGTTTTTAGTAAACAGATAAATGGAAGCAGAAGATGTCTTTCAGTCATCAATGCTAACATTCAGCGACACACAGGAGCTCTTTCAAGCTGGGCACCGTTTCATTCACAACACCTGTCCCATCAACCAGGAATCAGAAATACTTTAATAATCCCAGGGAGGGATTACTTTAGTTACATTACTCCATCTGTAATAGAGTGACTATAGGACCAGTTTGATAGAACATTATTTCATACTATATATATAATTAGGGGGTCCCCGCTCCATCTCGCCATCAGTTTGGGGTCCTTGGCCTGGAAAACGATGAAGACCCCTGATTGAGAGACTATTAATAACAGGAGGTGAGATCCAGCTCCAGATGAGTGTGCTGATTTTCATACTTTATGTTCTTTTCAAGAACGTACTTGGTGAGAACACGAGTCCAAACTTGAGTTCTTGAATTGAGAAACGGCTCGTCACTTACATGTTTGGAAAGCCTTTTTCTTAACCAATTAATGGGATCAGGATGTGAAAACCATTCATTTCATTAACTCAGATTATCTTTTTTGTCCGATATCAAATTTAGTTTCATGATCTGAACCAATTAAGTGTAACAGGAGAACAAACTTAGCAGGAATCATGAAGGGGAGAGAGATATGCTGAACATGCCTTTCACTGTTAGCCTGTGCGTGAACTCACCTCTGCTCTGTAGGGCAGGAATAAGGCGGAGGCGAGGTTACCGGTGATGCCACTGAAGATGTAGATGATGGAGATACGCGCCCATCCTGCCAACTTCTCCAGGTCTCTCAGTATGGTCATCTGGAACACCACTGACACCACACAGTGAAGGAGCCTTAAACAAACACAGGGAGGAAGTTAAGCTCATTGCCTCTGTTCACTCGTTCAATTTAAAGAGCTAAAGCGCTCCATATCAGCTCTGAGTATTATGTTGCTCACATGAGCTAACCGCTTTCCTCCTTATTTGGTCTGAATCCAAGTTATAATTTATTGAAATCAATAAAACTCATGTTTTAGTTGCATATAGTTAAATAACTCTTTAAGCATGTGTCTAAATAGAGATATTGGTGGTCTCACCCAGCATGGAGGAAGAGGGATAGCCACAGTCGGTAGAGCTGATCAGGAACCTCTGGATTTAGGAAGGGCAGCAAACCGCAGACATCGTCCAAACAGTGGACCTGGGTTCAAACAGAGAGATTAGAAACTCAGACTTAGACCTGCAGAGAAAAGGTCCAAATGCAAACACACTGAGACTACCTGTGAGCAGAGAGTGGCCTCCTCATGGAAGTAACCATGCATGAAATCGCAGTACTCTCTGGTGGTGATCTCACATCTAGAGCAGGGACAGACGAGATGGTAGAGTTATAAAGGTACAAACAGACACCACCCAAAAAAACAACAAAACACAGATATGCTGGGTACGGATTTCCGTTTTTAACGTCTGGTTTGTTTTCCGGTTTGTCGAGATGATCGAGAAAAACAAAACCAGCTGACTGGATTTCAGTTTTGATTGAATCAGCAGCTGGCTAGCTAGAGTGGTAAGGAAACCGTCCCGCTGGGGGGAATAAGCTGCCAGTGTGGGTCGTTAGGAAACACCCTTCACGCTAATACCTTCTTTGGGGAGTGGCGGCCTAGAGGTTATGACATAGAGCTGGGAACTGCCACCCTGTGCAAACCCCACACTGCCCCCGCAGCGACGCACAATGGAAGCCCACTGAGGTTAAATGCAAAGAGAATATTTTGTTGCTTTGAGTTTTTCCTCTCCACTGTCGCTACAAGCATGCTTGGTGTGAGGGATTGCTTAAGTCAATGAGTCGATGCAATCAGCTGGTAGTCAGCTTAGATAGAAAATAGAATCAATTTGACTGGATGATCTGGTGAACTGTAAAGAGCCTTGAGATGACGTGTTGGGAATTAGCGCTATAGAAATAAATTGAATAGACTCCCAGCAAGATCCCCTCCAACTTCCTGCCACTGTATTTTTTTTACTCCGACTCCACCCGTTCACTGAATTACAGGATCTGACCAGGAGACGATGCTTCTCTTTAGATCTTAATGCCCACAAATCATGACAGAAATTATATTTTAGTACAAAGACTAATGTTTAAAAATGAATTGTAGGGGACCAGCCAAGGAGCCATCAAGGAAAGTGGGGAAACTCTGAATATCTACTACAGTATGTGTTTATTATATATACTGAGATACTTTGCTGTTTGGTAAGAATAGCTGAACCGTTACCCCTGACATCCGGGATTCGGTTTCTACTCCACATGTCGCAGCAACAGTGGGGTAGTCAAGTGACTAAATGAATAAAGAGCAAAAAGTATTTCTGCAAATCATTCCCACCTGCCCTTGGTGCCTATGCAGCAGGGCCGCCCTTTAATAGTACAGTCCATGTGTCTGTAGCCTGTGCTGTTCCACGTCCTGGGTAATGTGCAGACCTGCCAAAGGATGTGATCACAAACAACTGTTTAGTGTCTCCTCTTAAGCACTCAAGAAGTAAATAACTGGATTTAAATAAAACATTGAACAATAATGAGTTAGGGGAGAGTAGAAACTAGTAGCATGTCTGCTCACCGGCCACTGGGTGATGTCATCTGGCCACGTATGAGGCGACTGGGAGGCTGGCTCTTCACACACTCTGAGCAGCAGATAAAAAACACAGTGACAAGAGACAAAAGTTAGGCAGTGAACAAATAGGAGCAATATTTATGCTTGTTTAGCGTGTTTTAAGAGAAAAGTTCCAAACTAAATATTTAGTCAGTTAAAAAATTTGTAAGCAAGCTAAATATTTATTTTCTAAACTAAATATTTAGTTTGTTGCTAAATAAATGTTTAGCTCCAAACTAAATATTTAGTT